TTCCTTCCCCCCCCCCCCAGTCTTTTTAATTTCCTAAGTTGTGCATGACGCCGGTAAGAAGTCCAGGAAGCCACAAGTAAGCGAAATAGCAAATCTAGGTGGTGTGTGACCTTGGCAAGAAACCCAAAAAGCAATCAAGGCCATCGTCACGTACAAATTAGTTCATTTTCATTCCCTATTTTTGTCTATTTTGAAAACTAGAGAAAAAAGGACCTTTATAATCATTTGTTATCCTGTGTGGGCACACATACTCATCTATTACATTGAGTAACAGACGAGTATGTAACAGATGAAAATGTTTTTTTCCTCTAAATTTTGCTCTGCTTCTTCAATCAGATTGCCCTAACGCACGCATCAACGCCATTCTTCTCTCTTCTCTCCTTCGCCACAAGCTCCTCTCTTCTAGCAGCTTGTCTTCTCTTCTCCCACAACCTCTCAAAGTTCAACATGAACTAAGACTCTATATTCTCGCCACTTCTCGTCTTTTAGCAGCGACGGCCAGATGCCTACGACCTCTCCAAATCTCCATGAACATGGGTTCTTTCTTCCAGTAGCGATGGTGCATTCTTTTCTTCCAACAGTGAATTGACGCTCATGAGCTCCTTTTCTTTCATGCAAGATATGTGGGTTTGGGCTTTTATATTATGTGGATTTTATGGGTTTTGAGAGGGATGAATGTAAGTGTTGTGTGGGTGTGTAGGTTTTGGATTTAAATTGATTGTTGGTAAGAATTGCATTTAGGAAGTATTCAACATTGATTGGGTTGCATTTGAAGATTGAAAAACTTGGTAAACTTGTTTGAACCTTAATACATATAAGATGTTTATGAAAATGTCTAGGAGAGAAATTTGATTGGAATATAATAGTTAATTGAGTATTTTCAATGTTTAGTCTCTATGTTGAATTTTAGAAAGTTTTAGATGTTATTTGAATGTGTGTGTGTGTGTGTTGATTAGAATATAATAACTAATTGAGTATACTCAATGTTTAATCGCTACATTGAATTTTAGAAAGCTGTAAATGTTATTTGAACATATATATACGTGTGTGTGTGTGACTTTCTTGAAATGTGATTGTATATAACCATGTTTGTTAAAATGTTGGCTTATGCAATGGATAGCTTTTTTATAATTTCATTTTTATTATATGGTAGGTAGTAGTGTTGGGAGAGCTATGATTCAAACTATATTGGAAAGCTTGAGTTGAATATTAAGTAAGGTTCCACCAGTACTACAAATGTTTTTTTTTCATATTGAAAAGAATACTTCTCAATGAACATATTGAAAAATACCAAAACTGAAGTTAATCCTTGCTTATGAATCCCACAGGTCTCAAATGATGGAGTTAGCGTTGATTCTTCTATTCAATCTACTTTCATCTCTGAGACCATATTCTGTCCATAAGTTGTTTCGATATTCAAAGATATTGAAACTAAGGCTAAAGAAAATAATAAGTTAATATTAACCGACCGAACAATTAGCCTGCTTAATCTTAAACAGATAGATGGTATTTGCGTAGAGCTTTTCTTACACCATTTGTTATGATTCGCAGAGAAAGTTTGAAATTGAGGAGGGCGTGAATATGGACGTGGAGGATGAGGAAAGGGTTTTGATTTCCACTTGATTCATGCTTCCTAGAGTGATTAATCAGTTGTCAACAAGCAAAAACTTAAATTTCAACTCTGTCAAAAAAAAAATTTCAAAAAATGAGTATGACATAGTTTGCTAGTAAACTCGAAAATTGAAAATGGTATTTGAGATTGTGAAGAAGTTGAAAAATTTTGTGTGTTTTTAAAGGATTGCTAAAATTGTTGTATTTGATTGTGTTGGATTAAGCAGCTTAACTTAGTTCTGAATTGCTTTAGTTTTGTTAGAATTGAACTTAATTGGATAAAATTGTTATAATTAGTTTTGTTAGGATGTTTGGTTCTTTTTGCTTTAACTAAGGTAGATTCTCTAGTTTTAGAACTTTCTTATATTATATCATGATTAGATTAAGTTTGTATGGAATTAATTAAAGTGTTATTTTTGTATGGAAAGTATGACACGATGGATTTGGTTTTGATGAATTGCGTTGTTTGTAGTTTGTTTTGCTTTTGCTGAATTGTAGGTTGTAAAAATTGTTTGTGCAAATGTTGCATTACTTTTTAAAAAAAAAAAAAAAAACAAGTATATTTGTTCGTTTGTTCTATCTAGAACAAATGAATAGGATGCCCATATTTGTCAGTTTTGACACAGACAAATATATAACTAGTATCTATGTTTTGCAGTGAACGTCACCCCATAAATAAATGAATATATGGCTTTAGAACAGATGAAAATTGCTTATTCATCTTACCCTATTTATAAGTTAATTCTAATATATTTCACATAGATCAAAGAAAATCTTAAATTTCATTAACTCTTATTTAAAATTTAAGAACTTTCTAATTTTATTTTTATTTAATATACATTATACCTCACGTAAATAAAATCAATATAATAATAAATGAAAAGTAAAACTATATTCATACAAAAAAAATTTCTCAATATCCTATATATAGGATTAAAAAACATCTTCTCCCTTTATCCTATAAATAAAACACAGAAGTATTTTGTAATAGTGCATCTTATCTGGGGACTGTTCTTCATCTTTTATGGACAAAGGAGTGTTACGGAGGGGGAGACGTGAGAGAGTTCTATTTTGAGATTCCTTCACCCTTCATTCCAGTCCTCGACACTCAACGAGCCGCCATGTAAATAGTTTGGTCAATGTCAAATTTAACCGAAATAATAGCCAGGGAAAAATTGTTACATTTTTTAAACTCTCGGGCTTTGAATGAAACCAAATTATGGTTTGGAGAATAGTTTCTGAAAAAAATAGATTTTGTGAAAAAGTGATTCTGAGAAGTGAGAGTGTTTTGATAATTGTCATAAGAAGCACTTTTTATATGTACAAATTATTAAAAAAAATATAAGTTAATATGATAATTACATAAAACATAGATTGCATGATATATTTTAATTTGAAGGAATAAAATTGTTAATAATATATTTTTTACCAACATAATTAATAATACATAAGATAATGTAATTAATAAATAATTAATATGGGTACATTTATTTATAAGATATAAGATTAAATATGTTTATAAAAAATTAATTATGGGGTGTTAAAGTCATATTATTGTTGAGATTTACTTTAATAGGCATAATCACACTCTCCAATTTGAGCCAGAAGCAGAATGGATTCACTTCTCCCGAAACCATAGTTTTAACCTAAATCATGGTTTCAGATAATTTGTGCCTGTTTGGATTTTTTTTTCCCAAACCATGGTTTGAGTCTCCAAATTATGATTTGGCCTGCTATCCAAACAGGCCCTAAGATCTTCAAAACTTCCGAACACCTATAACACCTAGTCATATACTCCCTCCGTTTCTTATTATAAGAGACATTTGATGCTTATGCATGTTCCTATATATAAGAGACACTTAAAAGTTGTCTCTACTTTTTGTGTTGATTTCTATTTTACCCATATTTATTGTCTCCAACTCACACTCTCTCTCCCTCTCACTTCTCTTTCTTTCAATAATTTAATTATTCTCTCTCATGCTCTCTCTCCTTATTAATGAGGGCATTTTTGGAAAAAAATTATATTGATTGTTCTTAACTAATTTTAACTGCTTTTTTGATCAACGTAATTTGGTTATTCGTCTCTTATAATAAGGAACGGAGGGAGTAGTTGCGAAGGCAAATTTACACCTTATCTCAATAAAAAATTACCTAGTATACTAGCTTGAATGGTACAACTTGTACAAGCATGTGGGTTGTATCTTTGTTTTAATCTGGGAGAATTACAATGAGGTCTCAAGTAAGGAAAATAATTGAAAAACAAGTCTCTGAGGTTATCATTTTCACTATAGGACTTGTCATTATAAGCTATTGAGGTTATTATTAGGATCTTTTAGTAATTATTTTTCTTTTGTAGGACTTGATTGTAATTCCCCCTTTTAATTTTACTAAATGAACCTAATTTAGAAAAGTTTGGCCAAATTGTTTATTAAAATATATTACCTCCTATCTTCAATATAAGATCTGGCTTAACTTTTAATTTGGTCCTAAATATAAGATTTAAATTCACTTTGTTTATCATATTTATCTATTTTTTTAAAGACAGTTTTTATAGTAGTTGTATAGTTAAATATTTTATCAAATGGTAGTTTTACGGCTAAAGTATACATTTAGCCGTTTAACTTTGTACAAAGTTTTAATTTGATTCCTTAATTTTAAAAAACATACATTTGGTCATTTAACCCTAAAATCATTAGGCTTTAATGATTATTTTTTGTAACAATCATAGATGTTTTGAAAATTAAACTTAATTTATTAATATTTGAGAATATTTTATTAACATTTAAAATCTTAATGTCATAATTTTTTTAAAAAAATTTAAAGTTAAAGGACTAAAAGTATACTTTTTAAAATTAAAGGACAAAATTGAAACTTTGTACAAAGTTAAAGGATCAAATATATATTTTAGCCTAATTTTACCTAATATATATGATTAATAAAAATATTTTAAAAAAGACAATACCTATTTATTATAAATAAATAAATTAACGAATTTTTTTAATCTATTTAAATTAATTAATTAATTTTTATACGAAGGATGGTTGTAATTTTTTCGGCGCCTGAAATACAAACGTGTTCAAAACGTCACTTTAATGACACCGAGCTGTTGTCAGGGAAGCCGAAGGCTGTGAGAAAGCCAAGACAGCAGCCGGCTTAGACGCAGCCGAGCCGTTTTGCGAAATATCTGTGTTCCTCGACGAAACGGTCTAAAAACCGGAAGCTCACGGGCTGGAACCGGTTACACTGAAACACAAGAGAAGTTGCATTTGGAGTGCATTTGGGTTCATTTCATTCCGAAACCCCCCAGCCCCTAACCCCAGTCAGTTTCTAACCCTACATCGCACCCCTTGCTTGTCTTATTTATATGCGCCTCGAATCCAAACCCACCAGTGGGCTCGCCTTCTTCCTCCTTCCCCCTCGCTCTCTTCACTCTCTCTCTCTCTCTCTGCTTTTTCCGTTGTAACTCCATGGATTCCAAGTTTTGATTTCGTCTTCCTCTTCTTCTTCTTCTAGTTTGATGGGTAAAGAGGGGGAGGAAGTAGTAGTACTCACAGATAGGGAACAGCATGGAGTCTTCGGAGATGTTATTAAGCAGTACTGTATAGATTGGTGCTGTTTAACACAGAATTGTTCCTTTTCATTTTCAATGGCTCCATTTAAGTGAAACCCCTCCCCTGACATCTTTGAGAAGATCGAATTTTAACTCGTTAACCTGTAACTGGATCAAAACGGCCCGATCTTTGTTTAAAGATCTGTGTGCAGAGTTTGTTGTTTTCTTTATCATCATCCGGTCATGAAGAGATCACTTGAAAGCTCCGATTCTTTGGGTGCTTTGATGACTATGTGTCCATCCACAGGTCTAAAGAAACCCCTTTTAATCTTTTTTACTTGCTTTGTTTTATGATTCAGAGTTCAGACACACTCACGGGCTCGCTTGTTTTATTTATTGTCTCGACCTTTTTGTGATCAACCGCACCCACACACATACGAAGTTTTCAAAAGCTTTTATAATTATTCAATTATGTCTGATTCGGTCCGGGTTTTCTAGAATTAGAATTTCTCATGTTCACCTTTTAATTTTCTTTTCTGGGTATTGCAAGGTCATCACTGTTTTGCTGACTATATTTTGTCTGGGTATCTTTATCAGATGAACACAGTCCGAGGAACAATAATCATGTGTATGGGAGGGAGTTCCAAACCATGATGTTGGATGGACTAGACGAGGAAGGGTGTGTGGAAGAATCAGCCCATTTGATGATGTCGGAAAAGAAACGGCGTCTGAGTGTTGATCAAGTCAAGGCTTTAGAGAAGAACTTCGAGGTCGAAAACAAGCTTGAGCCTGAGAGGAAGTTGAAGCTTGCTCAAGAACTTGGGTTACAACCTCGACAAGTGGCAGTTTGGTTCCAAAACCGTCGTGCTCGATGGAAAACCAAGCAATTAGAGAGAGATTACGGCGTTCTCAAAGCCAATTATGAAGCCCTCAAAGTTAACTTCGACACCCTTCAACAGGACAACGAAGCATTGGTCAAAGAGGTAAGAGATTATCATTATCATCACCATCACAGAGCACTTTAAATTGTCAGTTTTTCACAGGAATCCATCATTATTATTACTTTCTGGTTTCTGATATTTGAATTTGGCTGGTATGTTGCAGATTAAGGAGTTGAAATCTAGACTAAAAGAGGAGCACACAGAGAGTGATATTTCAGTGAAGGAGGAGATAACGGGGTCTGATTCCGAGGAGAAAAAGGTGGAACGGAGCAACCCACCACCAGCTGAAGCCTCCATTCTTGAATCAGAGTGCAAGGACTTGAATTATGGGTGCTTCAATGGAGTCGGGGCTGCTTCACTCATAGCCCCAGTGGATCATTTCAAAGATGGTGGTTCTGATAGCGACTCTAGCGCAATCTTGAACGAAGATAATAGCCCCAACGCCGCCATTTCGTCGCCCGCAGCTCTTCAGAGCCACCACGTTTTGATGTCTCCGTCGTCGCCGTCGTCCATGAACTGCTTTCAATTCCAGAAAGCATACCAGAGCCAGTATGTTAAGATGGAAGAACACAACTTCTTCAGCGCCGAAGAAGCCTGCAATTTCTTCTCGGAAGAACCAGCACCCACCCTCCAGTGGTACTGTTCTGATCACTGGAGTTAAAAATAATAATTGAAAAGAGGTTTATTTGAGACTAGTTCAGGAGAGTATAGATGAGAGCTCTAGAAAATGGCAGGAAATTGAACTAAGGAGTTTTTAAAAAAAGAAAAAAATTGCATTAGCTGGAGAGTTCTCATTTTTTAAGATCCAAGTTTGAAAAATCTGTGTAAAGCTGGGGAAGGAAGCTCGTACGTGGGGACTGTGAAGTTGGTGCGAAAACGCTGACGAATAAGTCGTCCGGGAAAGGAGGGACCTGTAATGTGAAGAATAATAATGATGATGATGATGATGATGATTAGGGTGATAGGTGGTAATTGTGAAATATATTTCCTGTACAAATAAAATATATATATTTTAATATTCATGGGTAAAATAATGATGCTTTTATCTGTTAAACCATGAACAACTGCCACTTTATTATCATTTAGCATCATCTCAAATCCTCCAAATTTAATCTTGTTTACGTAAGTAAGGTGATGAATGGAAATAATTTGGCGAGGAGCTTGATGAGGCCAAGTACATTTTCGCTTCTGCTTTCTGGGTTTGTCTTGTAATGTTCCAAGGGAAAGTTGCAAGAGAAGACAAAATAGTACTTATAATGGCCATATAGGTCCCCTTTCTCTCAAATTGCCCAAGAATTCTTCGCATGTAATTCCCAACTCCAACCAGACTTGGCTTCCTGCCAGTCAAGATTAAAGCAACACTCCATGTTGCAGATCCATTCTAAATTATGCTTGTTTCTTTCCTCCATTTCCACACAACCATGTCGTTTCTTGTATAACAACTTATTACGTATATTAGAAACAATTTAACAATTACTATTATTATAATAATTATATTACTTCCGTTCTAATTATAAGAGCAGTTGACTAATTTGAGGAGATTAAGGAAGTAAGTTGAGTTAGTTATTTGTCCTAAATAGGTGTTGTCTTTTCTAAAATATCCTTGCTAATCAAGTGTATTGACTAGAACTATCATTGTTAGAAGAGTTATTTTGCAAAAAAATGTATAAATATGAGAGACAAAGTGGATTGGAGTCTTATATTTAGAAATAAAATAAAAATCAAACGGAGTCTTATATTAGGAGTCGGAGGTAGTATGTTGGAATCATATGTGAGTAACATGCGAGTCAGCACAAAGAAAGTATGTCTCCTACTCGTCTGTTGCTCTTTTTTATAATGCAGGGAGATGAATATTTTGTTATCCTACTAATAAGGCATGTAATCATTTTTTTCATCACTAGTTTCTCATTTTATTCCTCACTATATGGTGGTGTATTTATAGTGCATTTAGCACTTTAAATCATAAAAGAGATGCCCTTTAATTTTTAAATTATTTATGTTTAAATGGAGTAAAGTTGAAAACTTTTTAAATTTTTAGGTTAGGTTTGTGTTTAAGTTTTTTTCCTTTTTGAAAGTGCCTTGATATTATTATACTCCGGTCCTTAATGTAAGACCCATTTAACTAATTTCATTAGATTAAGGAAGTTAGGTAACTTAGTTAATTATAAGAAAAGTGATACATTTTTCCTAAAACACGATAATCATCTTTTTTAATACCTCCTCTCCTTCTTCTATTTGATTATGGTTGAGGGAGTATCTATAGGGGTAATTTAGAGAAAATTGATAAATATGATAAATGGGTCTTATATTTAGAACTAAAACCAACTCAAGAATTGGGTCCTATATTAAGGACCGGAGGAGTATTATAATATATGAATCTACTGGATCAAGGTTGTTGAAGTAGGAAGGTGAAAGGCGAGTGGGATGGTGTTATTTTTACGAGAGGGAGGTGTATGAGAGTGCATGGGGGGAATACTTATCAATTGCTGTTTTACACTTTTACTGATGCTAATGGGGGAAGGGTGAAGGAGAAGAATGCATGAAACTTGGGGAACGAGGAAATGGGATTTGAGAAAGGAAACGGAGAGGGGAGAGGAGAGAGAGGAAGGGAGTGAGTTATGAACTTACGATTCATTTAGTAATTAGTACTGCTACACTATTTGATGTTTGCTTTAACCAAATCGGACGCTGGAAAAAGAAAAAGACAAAAGATGATTAAAGAGACCGCGAGATCCAGGGGCCCTCCAAAAGGCGCGCCACATGATTGGCTCATACGTGTCCCTTTGTTTTCCGCCTTTATCTCCTTCCCTTTTTGTTCTCACCCTTTCCCATTACCCCATGCATTTTTTAAGGAGAAAAACAAAAACAAAAACTATTACGAGTATTAATTTCTAAAATAGCTTTAAGACGACAAAAAAAAAAACTAGCATTATACTCCTCTAATCTTTAATATAAGACCTATTTAACTATTTGATTAGATTAAAAAAATTAGATAAGTTAGTTAATTATAAAAATATGACATATTTTTCTTAAAATACCATAATCATCTTTCTTAATACCCCATCTTTCTTTTCTACTTGATTATGGTTGAAGGAGTATTTATAGGGATAATTTAGAAAAAATTGATAAATTGAGAAATGAGTCTTATATTTAGAACTAAGACCAATTCAATAATTAGATCTTATATTAAAGATCGAAAGAGTACTAATATTAAATTATTTCTCTCTGTAAAAATTGTTCTCTTGACAAGAATAAAAAGAAGCACCATGGAATATTTTCGTTTTCTACGGATTGCTCCTGTCTGGTTCATAATATATAATACTGTTTTGATCCTAATTATAAATATCATTTGTATTTTATACACGAGCTCTTGTAAATATGATCAGAGGTAATATAAATTACTTTCCTACAACTCATTTTGGTCTGAAGTACTACAAGTCTAGTCAACTAATATTGAACTTGAGCTTTTAATTTTTTTTTTCCCTGTTTTGCCATTCTACAAGTTAATGAGCCCACCCTTACACCAGTAGTTTTCATTAACTTGACTTGAGTCTGATAAAATAAATTAATCCTCATAATATGATAAATCAAAGTTTAAATTTCTGCTGACAGAGATATCATATTTAATGTTTGATAATAACTCAAACAGAATTATCTCTAATAACAAAAAATATATATTGGTAGTTTTCAAATTTTAATAAAAATAAATTTAAAAAGTGTGATGATTTTTTTTTACTTTTTTTTTTTTTTACAGAGTGAGTTATTCTTTTGCATGCGCATGAGTCAGGAAAACGGGGTGACAGTACATAAATATTTTTAGTTAAAAAATGAAAAGAGAAAAAGAAAAGCAACCCCACGAACGAACGAAGAACCAGTAGGCCGCGTGTGAAGTCCGAACCTGTCTTAGAACTCCAGTGGTTGCTTTATGGAAAAGCAAATCCGAATCGGCTTTCGTTTCCTCCTATTTTTCTGAAAAAATATACTATTTATTTTTTCCATTTTGGAGTGTACGGCTTGCTTTGCCTTTGCCCAATGCCAGCTTCCCTCTGATAACGGTTGCAGAGCTGCACATGCTCAGTCTCTGCCAATCGGCTTCCACAATATCCACCCTACACGTGTACGTTCATGATGCGTTTCTCTTCTTAAGAGAAAACTCAAAATAAAATTTTAATACTAACTTTAATGCTTAATATAAAAACTAAATAATTAAAATAAAAAATTAATTATTTATAATAAATATATTATTTTTTAAAATTGATTTTTATTTAATTATCATATATATTAAAATTATACTTAAATAAAAATATCTAATAACTGATGAGAATAATTTTTAGAACATGTTATAAAATTTGAGTGAAGTGAATAAGAGTATTATATTTATTAAAATAAATATAAAAAAGGGAAAATGACAATAAAATACCATTTGAATTCCAAAAAGATAAATAAGGGACCTGAATAAACAAAATGACAAAGAAGGCATCAGGTACCAATATGGGATTTTGATTTTGAATTTTACAAAACACATAGTGGGATTTACAACTTTCATAGTGAGAGTTACTATTTCGTCAATGGGTTTTACAACCTGTTTTGAAGGGCCGAGCAAGTTTTGCCTAATTTTACAAACACATAGTGGGATTTACAACTTTTATAATGAGAATTACTATTTGGTCAATGGCTTTTGCAACCTGTTTTGATGGGTTAGGTAACTTTTCTGTAAAAAACAATACAATTCCACGCTAAATTTTACAAAACACATAGTGGGATTTATAACTTTTATAGTGAGAGTTACTACTTTGTCAATGGGTTTTGCAACATGTTTTGACATCAAAAATCAAAATTTTAGATTGGTACCTAGTGCCCTATTTGTCATTTTGCTTATTCAGGTCCCTTATTTGTCTTTTTGAAATTCAAGTGGTATTTTATTGTCATTTTCCCTATAAAAAATCGAGGGGAGACTTGGTAAACCCCCGAGGGGGCTGAGAGAGGAACAGTAAGGGTGACGGTAGTAGGAAGGAGTAGGTGTGGACTGGGGGGGGTGGGACCACAAAGACGACAGAGGGGTGGGGCCGGAGGGGAGGGAAGGGGGAATAGGTAGAGGCCAGCCATGTGAATGTGGGGCCCGGGGGAGTGAAAGGGACGGGAAACACGTCACCTTGGGGTCACGTTGAAATTCCAACAAAGCCTCCAAGCAGCCTCGAAAGCGACAATCTCTACAGTTCCCTTCACCGCCCCGCGCTGCCCATTGTCCACAGCTCATGAGCTTGTTTTTTTTTTTTGCTTGCGCACCCGGTGTCCTGGCCAACCCCGCAGGGACGGACCACCTCTAGGGTGAATCCAATTACAAACCAGACTAATCCGGACCGAGGCATGACAGGAACCATTAAGGTTGGCGCCCCTGGCCCCTAAGATGCTGCGTTCCCAGGGCTCGAACGTGAGACCTCTGGTTAAGCTAGAACGACTCCTGCCAGTCGATCTAATCGTCGGGGTTCTCATGAGCTTGTTTATCCTCACAAAAAATCTCCTCTAATGGGACCCACTTTTTCCATTCCGCCACCTCAGCCTTAGCTCTCTCATACTTTACTTCTCAATATCATTTTCAAAGCTTGAATTTTTTAAAAAAAAAAATTTAAATTTATTTTATTGGGAAAATGATTTAAAAAAAGGACAACAAAATTTTAGATCAGGTATTCTCATAAAAATATGTCTATTATTTACAAATCAATTATGTTCAAAACCTGTTAAATTGTGATAATGAATCTTAAGTTTAAGATTTAGTAATTTTTACGGTATTTATTTATTATTTTTATTTATTTATTTATTTTGATCTAAATTTTTTCTCTCACGTGTATGATAATTTTTAAAATTATTTTTTTAATTACGTAATTTTTGTTATCTTTATATTTTATATTTTATACTTTTGTCAAAGAAAGAAAACTTTAAAATAGGTGACCCACATGTTTTACACAATAATTATAAAAAATCCACTTAATCATTTTTTAAAAAATTAATTGACTAAATTTGATATTTAAAATAGAAGAAAATATATTTCTTCTTAATTAGGTATAGGACGTTTTATTTTAC